TATATATATATATATACACGGAAACGAAGAGACGCTCCAGGGAGGAGGAAGTGGGCGCGCATCTATTAAGACTCCAGGATTTCCAGCGATTTTTCTTCGTGCCGCGCTTTGAATGCTGGTGGGCCCCTGCATCCGCGTGAGCTGCCTTTTATTGGAGTTGAACGAAAATACTCGGCGTGTTTCGAGCGCCAAAGGCCAAACTATTCGGGCTTCATCAAAATCTTCAATTTAACCCCTCACGGCTGGGATATATGTGCCAACTTGAATAAAGATGGCTTTCTCCGTACGCGTGACCATCCATTATTGCCAAATTTCCCGTACGATAATGAATTCTCTTCCGGTTCATTAAACCGTTCCTATCCTCGGACAAGTGCTTGCTTACATGATTTTAATGTCCATTTACAACGTTCATGCTGTCCACATGTTTTTATTTTGGCTACTTTTTTGTTTTTTTTTGTTTTTTTTTTTTGTTCAACCGCTTGCGTTGGTAACACTTGCAATTTGTTGTTTTGAATTGGTTTACTTATGACTTGTTCATTCATTATTCTCGTGTTGAATCTACGACGCGCATGTGCACCATGTAGTTAATTCATCGCATGGCTTCTCAATGAGTGTAACCAGAATTGTTGTTGTGATTCCGAGAGTCCGCAAATTGAAAGGTATATTCCGAAACTCAAATAGGTTGAAACCAACGGCATAATATGGTGTGTCGATCATACCTAAGCGTAATTAAACAGTTGGCTCGAAGTTTGTCTGGAACAATTTGTTGATTAATATCATCAGCCTTTTGGTGTTTGTTTTGCAATTAAATAAAATCACGTGAAGAGTTAACGATAGAATTTAGATATTTTTGTGAGTATGTCATCTCGGTGTGGTACTTGGAGGAGTTTTTTTAGATTGTAGAAAAACAACATTAAGTTCACTGTAGATAAACTTGTACAGCTAAGTAATTTTTGTGAATTTTCAAGACCCAAAACCGTCTTGAAAACGAGAAAATAAAATGGATTTATTATGTATGGATTTTGACATTGGCTGTTATGGAAAATGGTCGAAAATCAATGTAGGGTTAAGTTAATTTTAATTCAAACAAATGGTAATTAAATAACCATTAAAGAGTACATACGTAAGGGATTCGTTTCGATTAAAAATGTTATGAAAATAGTTGATGATAAAATGATCCCTGAAGGTCTCCAACGGAAAACCGACCCCTAATTAGACCCTGGACTTTCAATACTATTGAGAAAATTCCTCAAAACATAAGGTGGATACCACAATAATATTTACTATACAATAAGGCCATTTAATTCTCTGATGTATATTCATATACTGTATAAATACGCGTATAAAAACTAATTGAAGGTTTTTTTTTTGTTTCAGGATGTCGATGATCGTGCCAAAAAACAACGCAACCAAATCATATTTGAAAATTTTAAATCTGACTCTCGGAGATGAAGCTCTGTACAAGTGCGAAGTTACGTATTTGGCTGTAAATCGGGAGTGCAATAACGTCCAGCATATCACGCTCAACGTCACAGGTATCATGTTAAATACTTTGCTATTCTCGAAACAACAAAACATATACAAATATGAAGCATAAGTCCCCATTATTCGTACTACTTAGTAACAAGTTACTGAACGCATCGTCGTTATTGATTTTATTGTTTATAGTTTTATAATGTATACCAATTCTAGATGACTAAAAGTTTTATGTTTTCTTTACGTTTATATTGAAAACGTGTACAATTAAAATGCATTGGTCTAATTAGACGTTCAATGTACGGTCCTAACAGAAAAATTAAATTCAGACATCTTGCATTATTTCGAGAGCAGAAATTGCGGAAGAAATGGAAAATCAAGGATAAGCATTAAAGTAAATTCGTCCGCACGGTCGAGAGGAACGACGAGTTAAGAGCAGGAGAGAAATCGTCCTCGAGGATGGCGTCTTCACTTTGCGGAACCCAGGCGTTATAAATGCCTCAAACTACCTCATTTCTCCTCTCTATCTCTCTCTTTCTCTACCATCTTTGTCCGCCGTCTATCGGATCCGTATTTTCTTAATCTCGCGCGAGGGCACGCTCGAGTCTGATATTACGCTTCAAACACTCGACGGCTCCAGCAGTTTTTTTTTTTTCTTTTTTCTATGTGACTATCATTTTTATCAATAATCCCGATGTTGAGAAGGAAAATTTGATTTCACTTTTAGCATACAAACACCATCTATTGACAGTATGGTCAAAAGTTTTCATTCAAACAACCAAATATTGTTACAAAATCATGTTACTAACAAGCTTTATTTTCAACTGTTCAAGTGAGCTTAACTCTTTATTCCCCGTAGATTTCGACTATTATTTTACTACTCGGTTATATGAATTCTGGTCACGCAAGCCGTTAATCGATGCAATTACATCTATATGTATATAGATATATATATATATATACACACACACATACACACAACGGGAGAGGGAGACACAAGTGAAAAAAAGGAGCCAAGTAAGAAGTGAGGAAGAGGCCGTATAGTCCATCGATAAGGACCCTTTGGACTGAGGGATCCAGGCGTCTTTGTTGCTTTTCCTCGCGCCACTTTTCCGTCCGATTCCACGCCCTCCGCGTCAGGCAGGGGGACAAAGTTTTTTCCACACCGAGATAAGATCGTATACATCTGGCACGGGGATAAGGGCGCTTTATCGCTTAAAAGTGTACGAACTTTTACCCCCTGCGACCCACCTTGCCCTCTCACTTTTTTTTTCTCCTCCTCTTTCCTCGTCCACCTATATCTCGCTCTTTCCTTTCTTCTTTTGTTTTTCATCTTCACCCCTAACGTTTCTTTATCTCTCTTTTTTTTTCTTCAAATTAATTATTATCCCCGACATTTGCGATAATGGACGCTCATTCTTTTTTTTTTTTTCCCCATGCTCCTTAATGTTCATTAAGATCAACACCGCGATGGGCACACTATTTATTGTGTTTTTTCTTCTAATCTTTGCCCATAAATATTACAAGATCTAGTTTCTTCTTCTTTTTTTTCTCGGCTTACCATCTGGAAAAGTTAATCTAAAATTTGGGATTACTTTTCAATTTAATTTTTGTCATTCTCAACGTTTGAAAACTACGGGCCAGTAGCAAACGGTGGCATTTTTTATAAGCGGTATAAATTTTCACGAATAAAAACACAATCAAATCAAAAGGATCACATGGCTGTGAATAAAGCCCGGCGTGAAATGAAAGCGCCAACAGAATTGTATCCAAATCGTTTGTACATGTGTATAATATGGTGCTGGTACAATTCGTTGTTTAACGATGAGTTTCAATTAGTTCGGAAATTGTATCCGAAAACGATGAACGAGCACCCCTTTTGAATTCATTTCGCTTGACAAAGACTTGCGTCGGGACTTAGCGAGTTCCATTAATTATTATCGAATACAATTACTTTGAGTAAAATGATCGCTTCAAATTTTACCCAAAAAATAATATTTTCAACGTCAAGAATAAAAATAACTTTGCGCAAGCACAATTTTCACTCCAAGTCATGGGGCTGAAAAAGTAGGTATATTGTGTGCCAAAAAATATACTTTTGACGTAAAACTCGCTACTTTCAATTAGCTCGCTTTTCAGGGATAATCACGGAAATGTTAAAAAGCTTCTTACCGCGTGAAACTTGGAAACAAAGGAGATGTTTTTTTTTTTATTTTTTTTTTTTTGTGGAACAAAACGAAGAAAGGAGAAATTACTCTCTGTCTCACATTTGAAAGGGCCCAACGAAGCTCGAGGAAAACGAAAAAACTTGAGCAACTTTTCAAAACTACAGTCCAACTTTGCTGCGTCGAAGTTTAAAATTATTATTATTATTATTATCAGTCTCGGACAAACTTCCTCGTCAACTGCAGCTAACAACGAGACGAGGTGCCAGTAAAAAGCGACATATGCCTATACCATAAAGTTTTTATTCTAGAGCATCATCGTCTTCCTTTGCCCTACTGTGTGCCCTCCCCGTTCAAGCTTCCTCCGGCGAAAAGTATCCTTTTCGTATACAATGCAGGACACAACAATGCACCCAACAGCGGCAGTCAAGTTGTACGTGAATTCGGGAGCTTTGACGACGACGACGAGGCTGCCGTTTCACGACGGTGGAATGAAATTTCAGGTAGCAGATCGCGAGCCGATACCATTGCACGTGCCCCGCTTATTGGTTACCCTCAAGCCATTCTCATCCCGAGCGAACCTGCTTCTCCTATTCCTTCCTCTCTTCGTCTTTTCGAGCGACGGTATACCTCGCCGAAAAAGCTGGAAATGAGTTTCATTTCGACAAAAAAGCTTCATCGTCTGCCGCGATTGTTGGAAAATAAAGTGGCCTCGCGTAGAAACTCCTGGGAAAATTTTTGATCAGTACCTCGTAACTTTACTCGAAACTTCAATATCAGATTGCACGGCCCAGCTAAGTATATGGTGATCGAACAACTGCGTGAAACTTGCCCAAGAAAATTCGATCACGACGGGAGCCTTTGAGCATTTTTTGTTTTCTTTGCGTGTGCTTGCATCAACGCAACGAGAAAAGCCCTTCACAGGCTTCAGTTTATTAAACTCGCGACAAAATTTTAATGGTGGAGAAATTCGTTTCAAGATAATTGCATCTGAAATCGTAAGTATCGAATGACCCGAGGAGTCGAGTTTCCTTCGATTTTTCGCCAACTACGTATACTTGTTTGCTCGTCCAATTTGTTTGCAAAGTATAAAAATATACGGAAGGTATTGTTGTTTCGTGAAGGCAAAAAATACCCAATTAAATTAGCAGTTATGAGTTACTATTATTATTTTTATGTCTGCCTCGTGAGAAATAGCTGGTTATGTTTCGTTGAATTTTTCATCATTTTTTCTTCTATTTGTTATTTTTTTTCTATAAGAACAAACTTTTTTTCAATTAAAACTCGCTAACTCGATTTTCTCGATATCGTAAGGCAGTGAAAGGATGGAAGTGAAAACTGAAGTGCTCATTTGCTTGGATATATTTTGATACAAAAAAAAAAAAAAAACTCCTTAACACTTAATTTTATGCTTTCGTACAAGAGAAAATATATAATAAACTACCGTTTCCGTAAATTGAAAGAAAAGCACAAAAGCATGCACGACAACTGCCTTTTTATGATAAATTTGCCAAGCATAAGAAAACATATGACTAGTACTGATTGTGTAGACGAATAATGAAAGAGTATATAACTCGTAGGATTACCCGAAGGTATTCATAAACTCTGAACCATTTTCTAACGCGCTGGCGATTGTAACACGGAAAATGTACGGGTATGAACTAATATTATTGATGAACAAAATAAAAAATGTGACTGATCACTTGTCGTAACACATTACAAACCAACCTTCGTACACACAAGATAGGTATGCATTGCAGGCACATATTATCTAATGTTCATTGATATACCTATACGTACGACCAATAATTGACGTTGTTTACTGCAATACGTCCATTTGACTTAAAAACGTCTCAACCCCGGCATTATTTCAAGCTCGAGTGAAAATCGCTCGACCCATCGAGTTTCAATCGAAAATATCGACAAAAAGTGGAACTACACGCTCGCACGGCTCCCTTTGACGGTGTTACGAGCTCGGATCTCGACGCAAACATGACGCAATACTAGAATGGCAAGGAAGATGAGGGGGGGAGTGGAGGAGGAGGTGCAGGTAGGTAGCCGTGGGGGAAGGCACCGCACGAAAAACGATGGGAAAAATTTCGAGCACGCAGTTCCCCTCAATTATTTTATGCTTGCCAATGAAAGCCTCTGCACATCGGCAATCAATACACGGTATGCTCGGGTAGTATCATTTTTTTTTTTTTTTTTTTTTTTTTTTCTATTTTTTCCTTTGTCTTGTTTTTTTGCTCGTAAGCTACCAACAGACGAATTATTTTTCTTTTCGACTCGGTGCTCGCGTGCTTCATTGTCAGCCTGTCTCTCTATCAGTTTTATTGTTTACGCGCACGCCTCGTCCACACTCATATACATATATGTATAGGTACACGAGTGCGTTTACATATACACGTCGTGTACTCGAACTCTGCCAGATATCTCGTTCTCTGCGCTCCGGATTCTAATTATTTCTCGTTTTCTTTCATTTTCGCTCGTTGCGTGTCACTTGAGAAACAGCAGCAGCAGTGCCACTCGCCGGACGGATGAGTCCCGGAATGCGATAGGAAGAACGGGCAAATCGATTTGCCGGCTTCGGCAGTGCGCATAAATTTCCCGAATACCATTCGAGTGTGTCTGGACGCTGCACGCGTGCTCTTACGATCGATTCCTGGGGTAACGTTTAGATGAAAAACTTTGCTCCTCGAGTGCTTGTCCAGCGGTTGACATCGTGACGAATATTCACAAAATCTTTCCTTTGATTGCTGCTACGGACATTACGATCGATCATCGGAAACAATCATCCGCGGTTGCAAAATGTTTGAAAAAAAATACACACATAAAAAGCATCCCCTTGGTTGGAATCGCCGTGGTTCGACGAATTGCAAATAAACGCGCAGACG